TAAACTAAGAGAAGAAGCTTTGCAAGATATTAAGCAAGAAATTAAACAGAGTTTAAGAAATAAGGTTTTTACTTAATAATGAAATAACTTAATATTAAAATAAGTTAGATTCTCAAATAACGTAATAATAATAATAGGTTCCAAATGTTAACATTTACATTGATTTTAATAGATTTAATACAAGTTTTGAAAAATAAAACTAGGTTTTTTTTGAACGAACGTAAATTCATAGAACTAGCAATCAACTTATTAGTCAAAACTTTTTTATAATATAAATTCAGAAAAGCAAGCATTTCTTATTAATGAGCTAAAAAAAGTCTAATTTATTGATTACATAATTAATTACTTTGTTTAATTACGTTTTGTAACCAAACGACAACTATTGCTATTATTTGTAGTAGACGTATATTATCAAAATTTCGTTATAAAACTTTAATAATGTTTTTATCAGTAATATATATAAAGCTTTCAAGCAAGCATTTTCGTTTTCAATGGTAATAATAATATTTTTTTATGAAAACTTTGAAAGTTATGACTGCAACAGTATTTCTAAAAATCAATCTAAAAGTATATGTTTTATCAGTAGTGCAAGTATCGTTAATTTGCTAAATTCTTGTAAAAATAATAGTTCTAAATCGTATAGTTATGACTAAAGTATTTTGTTCAAGTTCAATAAATTGAAATGAAGTGACAATCCGCCTTTAAGTATACAATGAATTTTAAATTGGTTTGTTAGTAACTCTTTTTCTCTTCTCCCTAAAACAAATGACATTCTTAATAATTAATTCATGTCAAAACAACAATAATAATAATAATAATTTATTATTATTTGAATCTCATTTCATGAATGAGTTTTTATTAATATTTTTGGATTCAATCATTAAGTTTCATAATCAAAAATTTTTTTTTCGACAAAAAATCGATAAACAAATTTCTCTCGTCATCTCGTTGAAAATTCAAAAAAATTTTTTTTATCCTAAAATTAATATTATTATTCAAATGAAAGTGTATAAATTTTGGTGTTTCATATTAACGGATAAAACTGACATTATTGATAAACGTTACATTCAGATTAAAATAGAAATAAAATAAAGAGCAAATATAAATATGCATATTCAGATAATGTTTCAAACTTTCTCAATTTTTTATATCATATAATGAATCGATTCAGTCTAAGTTTTTTATTTTTATTCATCTTAACTCAATTTGTACAAATTGAATTATTATATGCTCAAACAATCAGTCCAAAAAAATTTATAAAAAATTATCAAAGAGAGTCTATAATTCACGATGATAAGGATGTAACTTTAAATCAAGAATTATCACCAGCTGATGGTAAAGCACCAGCCGACGGCAAAGCACCAGATGATGATAAAGCACCAGCTGACGGCAAAGCACCAGATGATGGTAAAGCACCAGATAGTGGTAAAGCATCAGTCGATGGCAAAGCATCAGATGATGGTAAAGCACCAGCCGATGGCAAAGTACCAAATGATGGTAAAGCACCAGCTGACGGCAAAGCACCAGATGATGGTAAAGCACCAGCCGACGGCAAAGCACCAGCTGATGGTAAAGCACCAGCTGACGGTAAAGCACCAGCTGATGGTAAAGCACCAGCTGATGGTAAAGCACCAGCTGATGGTAAAGCACCGGCCGACGGTAAAGCACCAGCCGACGGTAAAGCACCAGATGATGGTAAAGCACCAGCTGATGGTAAAGCACTAGCCGACGGCAAAGCACCAGCACTAACTTATGGTAAAGCACCAGCCGATGGTAAAGCACCAGGTAAAGGACCTGACGGTAAAGCACCATCAAATAGAAAAGCACCAGCTACAGCAAAAACACCTGCAGCATCTCCAACTCCAGTAAAATCTTCTAAAGCTATAGCATTAGAAAACAATAATACAAGTGTAATCACCAGTTTAGTGATAGGAGGAATATTTGGAGTCATTATTTTGATAATAATTTATTTATTCGTATTTAAAAAGTATAAACCAAAAATGAAG